TGCCATTGGAGTACAGTGAACTCATCGTCATGTTCAAGAAACCAGTTTAAGATGATTTCAGCTTTGTGACATTATCCTGCTGGAAGTAGCCATCAGAAGATGGGTACCCTGTAGTCATAAAGGGATAGACATGGTCAGCAACAATACCCAGGTAGGCTGTCACATTTAAACAATGCTGAATTGATACTAAGGGGCCCAGAGTGTACCAAAAAAATATCCTCTACATCATTACACCACCACCACCAGCCTGGACCATTGACACAAGGCTTGCCCTACCATCTGAATTTCGCAGATGAAAAAACGAGACTTATCAGACCAGGCAACGTTTTTCAACTCTTCTATTGAGCCTGTGTGAATTGTAGCCTCAGTTTCCTGTTTTAAGCTGACAGGAGTGGCACCTGGTGTGGTCTTCTGCTGTTGCCCATCTGCTTCAAGGTTCCACGTGTTGTGCATTCAGAGATGGTATTCTGCATACCTTGGTTGTAACAAGTGGCTATTTGAGTTACTGCCCTTCTGTCATCTCCAACCAGTCTATCCATTCTCCTCTGACCTCTGACGTCAACAAGTCATTTTTGCCCACGTAACCACTGCTCACTGGATATTTTCTCTTTTCTGGACCATTTTCTGTAAACCCTAGAGATGGTTGTGTGTGAAAATCCCAGCAGATCAGTAGTTTCTGTAATACTCAGATCAGCCTGTCTGGCACCAACAACCATGCCACGTTCAAAGTCACTTAAATCCCCTTTCTTCCCCATTCTGATGCTCAGTTTGAACTTCAGCAAGTTGTCTTGACCACATCTACATGCCTAAATGCATTGAGTTGCTGCCATGTGATTGGCTGATTTGTGTTAACAAGCAATTGAACATACTAAAGTGGCTGGTGAGTGTATTTGAGTGTGTGTGTTTGTGGGTGTGCTGTGAAGTAAAATCGCCCCTTTGCTCTAATCCACCTATTTTGTTTCGGTCCACTGTTCAGATTCAAGGTGGAAAAGTGCCGAAACTGCATGTTTTGCAGTCTGTCTGGCCTACAGTGCTTTACCTGCTGAGCCCAGAGACTCACCAAGACTGAAGGACCCTGTTGCTTTAACCCTGTCCCCAAGCATGTCCCTGGCCCACACAAAAGCCATCTGGGGTGCGGCTGAGAGCTGTAGCAACAAAATAACTCTTTCAATCTGCACTCTGCATGGTTCTGACTGCAGGGCGTTAAGGTCGCCAATACCAAGACTCTTACTGGACCTCCTCCTCCTTCTCCTCCATCCTTCTAATCCTGGCCTACATGACTGCCTCCAACTGAAAGCACCACACGCCAGAGATGGGAGCCAAAAGCACTGCGAGACCACCTGCTCATCAAACTAAATTGTACTCACTGAAGGCAATGGGGAATAGAGAGAATGAAAAGGAGGGGAACAAGAGAAAAAATAAGTAACAATAAAAAGAAAGACAAGTCACTGCTCTCCCTCTGTGATCTTGGCAGACAAAAGAACAAATTACATTTCTGCGTCATGGCACCCGAGGGTCAAAATTGGTATAGAGTCCCTCTCAGTGCTGTTTGTGTGTGAGCATGTTGATATAGGTTCCATCAGTTCCCACAAGAGAGCCAGAGAGGTGCACAGGCCTACCTTTCAGCCTTTCATCTTGGCTTCTTTTGTATTCCGCTACACTTGTGTCTGTTGTCTCTCCCTTCTATTGGGCAGAATTGACTGTTATTATTCCAAACAGCATTATCTTTATTAATGCCACAGGTCTCGGGACTATGCACTCCCTGGGAGCCGGGTCTGGAAAGAGCTGCAACCAATCTCCCTAGATAAAAGCTCAGCGGAGAGCTGTATGCAAGCCAGACAGCTCGGACAGGCCTTCATCCTCCCTCCTCATTCTCAGAGAGAGGTATAGGCCCTACAAAGACTAAGATATGGCTTTAATCTTAGCACTTTCAGCCAGACAGAAACATTTGAACTGAGAGCAGCTCTCTAGAAGGCTATCAGAAGTCACTTCGAGTTGTTAACCACTAGTCAGAACAAACAAATTGTATTATTAGCAAATACATTATACAATATTTGAAAACTACAAAAAGAAAAATATCCTTAATGGAAAAGTTTTTAAAAACCTGGATATTGAGGGAAAGCATTTGGAGTTACAAACTGTTCAGTCATGAAACTATATCTTCTGGTGGTGCAGTTTATGAGTGTGCCCTCCATTCCTACTGTGGCTTATATTGTTGGTGGCTCACATGTACTTGGAGCTGAAGCCGTTTCCCAAAGTCAGCCATGCATGACAAGTTATTTTAAAGGTGGTGTGGAGAGCTGACGTGTGGCTAGGCCAGGGCAGGGCCGCGGCTGGGGTCTCGGCTTAGTGCCTCAAGCCCCTCGCTCCAGTGGTCACACAGCATCAGCTCCCGGCCCGAGCCCGGACACTGATTTATGGGACAGGGGGATTACCATCAAACCAGCCGTGAGGACCACCCAGATGGTGGCACAGGACGACAGCCGCATAAACACACACAAGCATGCAAATTCCAATATACAATATTACTTACAATACTACATTCACACAAGCAGTTAAATGTACCTTTTAACACAGAAATCCACATACTTTATCATTCAAATAATGACCCAAAAACTCTGCTATTTAAGGCTATTAAATATTAAAAATTAAAACTTTTTGGGAGTAACCAAACATTAAAAGCTGCACATGCCATTTGTAATGGCTCTGTTAACCACTCAAGTGCAGTGGGAGGGATTAATTCGCTGAGGCTTCCTCATTACCACAAAGCAAGGGAGCCAGCATTGCTCATCAGGGTTCATATGTATCTACAGGATGTGCCTGGTTAGAAGTAATTCCACTCAATCACGTCATACTATTTCTTTTTTTTCCCCCTCTCACTTCAGTTTGCATAATGCACAATTGACGAGTGACGCTTTGTGCAATCTCAACTGAACCAGGTCAAAAACAAGAGCCTTCCATGTAGTTACAGATGGGGAGCAGAAGCTTTGACTTTCATCAAAACCTTTGTAAATTCTCTGAAACTGGTGACATTCAACTTGATCATTATGTTTAATAACTTCACTTTCCACTTTTCTCTATGAAGGTCTCTCGTTTTCATTCCAACTGCATTTGCCGTCCTTAATACTTTTCCACCAAGTCACATTTTCGTCCAAGAACATGTGCAAATACACTGAGCAAAAGAGGAAAAGGGGAAGAAAAGCACATACTTCTCACTTGCCAGGGCACAACACAACTCAACCTCAAGGCACCAGTTGGATGAGCTGAACAATAAGAGTCAATGACAAATCGGACGTGGTGCATTCCTTGGGCAAACACTCACCTCATAAAGGGAGACAGGTAGGCAAACACTCACCTGCCCTAAGCTAATAACGTGTGTGGAGGCAAACCCACATACAGACACTCACACATGCACACGCTTTAGCTTGTCGATATGGTGAGACAATGATGGGAATTAGGCTGCACAAAACTGTCACAGCGTAAAGATCAGGCCAGATTTGCTCAGAAAAACTAGAGTAAAAAATGAAGGTCTCATGTAGCATTTTTCAAAAATCACCATATCAAAGAAGAAAGAAATGAAGGAGATCTGTGTCTCTTTGTTCTGTATTACTGTGCTATGTGAAGCGTGGAAATGACTGGTACACAACAATATACTGTATATGATAGGCCCGGTTTGTTTAGGGTTTCTCGTAATTATTGCACTGCAAAAATAAACAGTAATTGAATTATTTTAAGTAAGGCCATAACAATGGCTACAAGAGGAGGATTTAAGAGACTTACACAGAACATATTTTATAGTACGTTGCACATTATAAACCACATGAGTGTATGTAGCCTCATCAAAAGTTGTGTACATGTGTGTGCATGGTGTTTAAAAATGTCTGCATGCTCGTGTGTCAGGGAATCATTGATTACTGTGCTCACTTTCCTATCAAACAAATCACACACATTTTACCCTAAGGCCTACTTTCCCAGCAGAGGAGAGCAAACATCCAGTGGCAGCACCGCGTAGCACAGTGGGATGCACATTCAACACTTCCTGACCATGTGACTCCCTCCAGCTGCCTTCTGATTGGACGCGCAGAGGTGGAGAGGATGAAGAGAAGAGGGGGCGGTGGAGGCGGAGAGCGGCTGAGAGTTGGCTGGCAGCGGACACATGAGAGAAAACAAATTCCTGCCCCACTGCCATGGAGATGAGTCAACAGTAGGTCGGGGTGGGGGGCAGAGAGGGCCGGGGGTTGTGGGGCACAGGCTGACCTGCTGTAGTTAACAATTCATCCCTGTATCCGGCTCCCAAATGATTGGGCAAACATGGAGTGCTGCAGAGTCAAAAGGGCCCAAAGGGGCTGAGAGAGGGGCATCACCCTGGAGTGACACGCTGACAGGCACACACTGGTTGGTAGAGGGTGAACCATCTGAAAGAGGGGTAAGCAAGGGATAGGGGGCACCCGTGGGGAGGGCAGGGGGCTGATGGGATGTAGGAGTGAGGCTTGGTACAGTGAGTATTGCAGGCTACAGCACAGTCACAAAACAGAATTGATGACTGAGGATTTGTAAAGCAGTATAATTAAATGATTTGAGTTAAAATGCCATTTTGAGGATGGAAATAATCTCTTAAACCACAACAAATATCACCCAGTAAATTCTCTCTAAATTTTTCATGTTAAGCTAAATAACTAACAACACTTGGCTACCAGTTGTGCCAACAGTTAAAGTAGGAGTTGCGTCACTTTTATAAGTCTAAACCACAGTAACATTAAGTATCTGGCATTCATCTGGCATTGCTTTGTTACAGATAGTAAGAACATTTAGCACATTTGAGTGAGCCGCAGTAGCTGCAAAGCAAAACACTACTGGACAAAAAAGCTTGGAGATAAGGACACAACATCACCTTAAGTGAGAATATGGTATCCCTATTGGGCAGACAGACATAGCAGACACTAAAACACCACAAGCACAGTGAGACTTTTTGCAGTGTCTTTAGAAACATATATACTCACCAGAAGATCCCTGGGAAGCAATTCCATGTTGACATCTCATTCCAAGAATTTGGATTCTTTCACTATGAGAAATAAAAAACAAGACAGACGTCATTTCACAGACCAACTATATGGTATCCCATTACTATATCTGTTTAACTCTTCACTCTCCATTTGTTCAGCTGGGTTCATTTATGTAAAACAGTGTTGGAGCATGTAATATGAGGTACGTATGGAAAATGGTTCAAAGCCTCAACCCACATGACCAGGTTCCAAAACACCGGCCACTTTACAGTGGAGCAGAGCGCCGTTTGACAATAATGGGTCAGAGACAGAAATAACACACGATCGACGGGTGGATCTCATCAATGTCACATCATACAGAAGAACCACAAGGCTTCAGTACTGTACTTCATGCAGTCTAGACTTTATGTAGTGTAAGGTTTTGTCTCAGTCAGCAGACACTGTAACTTTGTTCGCTGTCACGGCTTGATTTGCCCAGAATGGCAAACCAAATCCCATTATCCAATTGGCAATTTTACTTCGAAGGGGTTGAAATGCCACCATTACAACAGACCTTTCACTGGGCAGCAGTGTAAGGAGGGTGTGTTAGCAAGAGGACCTGTTACTTGTTCTCCACTGCTACTCACGTCAGAGCACAGTGTTTTTATAAACACTGCTGAAGCATGTCCTTCCTTTAGTGGGAATTAGGATGCTCTCTCTAATAATCCACCCAACAAATCTTACAAATGAAAAACATGTCTGTATCATTTATAGTGTGTCTATGAGAAAAAGAGAGGAGCGAAAGGAACAAAAACAAGAGGGAAAAACTAAGACGATGATAAAAATAGCAGATGTCAAGAGTCACTTCTCAAAAGGTGTGTCATTCAGGGAGTTTGGGACGAACTTTTGGCCACGGCCAAGCTCTAAATTTAGCATAACTTTTTTGCTAAAATAAAAAGTGAGTTCAGCCACTGGCACTGGAACTTTCTCCTCCCCATTCATGACCTCAGTGGTGCAGCCGGCGTCACTCATGACGAAATACAAACCATATAAAACAACAAAAAAAGACCTCCTCAAATTGGAAACAACCGCAATTTAATGTCCCCTGTAAATGATCCTATTATAGCAATCCAAGTCCAAATCAACAGAAAATATGTCTTTGGACATTCTAATTTTAGAACAGAGTTTGAGTATGATTTACCTTTTACCTAACCTTAAACAGAACACAGTTGACTAGTTTCGAAATTAAGAAAATTGAGAACTACCTTCTATGAATGTATTCTTGACTCTGCACATAAAGTGAATGAAGACTGTGTGACACATGTCGAAAGCTTCTGTGTTTGTTTACTGTATCCATACATGCCGGGGATGAGCCTGTGTGTGGCAGGCAGGGGAAGATGCCCCTGGGCCAGGCTGAGGAGTAAGTGAAGCAGAAGTCCCATCTAAGCTCTAAAGCATGCGGGTATCAGGCCTGTAACTAAAACACAAGCATAAACACTGGCGATGTTAGGGATTACTCCCTGCAATACCGCCGCAGGAAACCACAGACAGCGCAGGTGTAACCATCGCCGTGGATGCATTCTTCCCCATCTCTGTTCTGCCAGCGGAGGTCTGACTGACAGCTCATCATCTACCCTCGTTAATTGTGTGAAACTTGTGTAAACAGCTGCGGGTATGTTTGTCTGTCTGTATATGAGTATTTGTGTGTGTGTGTGTGTGTGTGTGTGGAGTGGGAGCCACAGGTCAGGAAGACACAGAGGCAGGCAAGACAGAAGGATTACATGTCATTATATCATGTCAAAGAAGCCTTGCAGCATACATTTTTTTAGAGTTTATAAAAATCTTTCCTTCAAGGAATTGCTGCTTTATTTGTTGTATCTTAAATCTGATCCATCAATTTTGCTGAAATCTTTTTGTTTTTGAAACATTATGCTTTCTAGAAAGCAAAAACAATAAGATTTAGTGGGAGGGAGGGATGAGAGGGGAAGAAAGAACTTTTCCTCAGTAAACAGCACCCTCTAGAGCAACACCCTACATTCAGTTCTGCACCTCGCTCTCATTGTTGCAGCAGAACATAACTGAAATGGCAGATTCATCACTAACAATAATTTTGTATAAAATGCTAAACATGCTGTCAATTCCTTTAATTGTTAAAATGAGAAAAGCGCACAGATTTATGGTTATTTATTTCTGTAAAAGATTACAAATAAGCAGGTTGTCTTGTTCTCTGGCTTATTTCTGAGCCCATATGTACGATTACAGAGATGGGGACGAACCACTCATTTTCCCAGTGTGAGTTGATAATGAGGCAGGCCGTTGTTAAGATGTTTTCTTTAATCGTGTTCAGGGTTATTAAGGGCGGTTTACAGTACACAAGAGAGATTAAGGTAGGCCACGCATGACGGAAAGAGCTGAGGAAGCCAACGATAAGCCAGCTACCCACAACTGTGAAGGAGGCTGAGAAATATGAGCGCACAGTAGGACATGAAACCCAGAAGGACAAGCCTCTCTCTCTCTCTCTCTCTGTGTCTCATTCACCCTCTCTCTGTTCATGTTACACAACCACAAAGGAATGCCTTGTATATCGGAGACAGATTTAAAACAAGCGGAAAAGAAAGGAACAGTAAAGAGAGGATCGCAGAGGGATGGTAGGGAGCTTGGCAGTCCTGTAAAAGGCACACTACACTCACAAGTCCAGGCGCATACGCACCTAACCACTTCACACATGCTTACATAAACTAAATCAGCCTGAGACACACGGTTATGCGTACCAACCGGGGAGCACTTCATGTTTCCTCTATATTTTTCCATGCCATTAATAAAAATAGACATTTTACTGTTTCAATACTTTTTGTTGGAATTTAGGGAGCACTTGAAAATCCATCATTTTATGAGCTTCTAAGCGTTCCCACAGAATTCCCACCATTTTTTTCGTACATTTGACCCACACACATTAAATTAGCACTCAATTAGGATGGCACACGGAGAGAGGATAATGAGACCCGTGTTGCATTAAAAAACAATGCTATTTCCCAACATGTAGACAATGGAAAGTCAAGTACAATTAAAAGAGATTTGTGGTCTTGAATATTTTGAAAAACTGTAAACTAAGGCCAAAAACAGAGCTGAACTGTGTCAGTAACATCAGATGGATCCACACTTATTATTAGTATTATTTACCCTTTCAGGCTAAAGCACTTTGATAAGGAGACAAAATTGCATTTGGTTCAGCTCAAAATTATCCATGTCTTTGTTGCCACATTTTATTAACCTGATCAATAAATGAAACACAAAAACCTATGGCTTTATGGCACTGCATGGTTTGATTGCATTAGTAAAACGTGTGAGTATGTGTTTGTCTTTTTGTGTGAATCAAGTTAGCAGAAGGTCAGAGTGGTGAAGTATTAGAGAACTGTTTGCTCTCTTCCATGTACTCTTGGGGACCAGCCTGTTTGAGAGTTTGAACAGTGACGTGTGAAACTCGTGAAAACAGGACATAGCACCACTCTGTTTGCTTAAGAACACCCAAAGAATGGGCTGCCATTACAAAACAAATCCCTCAGCCTGCATTCCCTATGTCCATCAAACCTTACCTGTTGAACAAGATATGACAAAGAGCGGAAAAGGTAGTTCCAAGAAGATCTACTGCATGGAGGGATGATAAAATTTGTTCTAAGGTTGTCTGCTCTTTTCATATACAGTATGATCCAAGGAAAGAGGAATGCATTCACAAGTTTGCATCAGCATGTGCACACTAATACAGAGATGTACTCAGTCCTGTAGCCAGAAAAAACTTCAAAACTTCAAAGACAATAATGGGATATAATGGAAATGTCGTAATTATTTCAGATATTTTATTTTATATTGCTTGGTGGAATTCAGGCTGGAATTAAGTAAATTTATTTTTGTGAGTGGGTGTTGCCTCTTGATCCTTGATTCAAGATTCACTATACTTTTTTTGGAACAATTTTCTTAATGTGAAACTGTGTAATTTAGCCAATTAAACCACAGTACTTTAATAACTCCCTTGCACTGTAAATCAAACCTTGACAGCACCACATGACGTGTGGTCAGAGAAACAATATGGCAATATGAAAACAGCATAGTTAAAAAATGTAGTCAAGTGCTGCTGGTGGCTGAAAGCTGCATTTGAACTGTATTTTGTTCATGCTAGAGAGGTTGTCTGAATCCAGTCCAAACCTTCCTGGCACAAAAGATCAATAGGCCTCCAGACAAGAGAGAACAGTGTACTAAATATTATAGTAAAATTATCGGTGTGGGAGAGGTGGGGTGGAATGTGGCAGGAAAGAAAACTACACACATAGTATACCTCACAAGGTACATCAATCTACAGTGTTTTATTTATTTCAATTATATAATTCTATTATTATATACATTTTTCAGTATGTTCTGACATTTCTACACTAACTGACTAATCACTTAAAAAATCATCAATGGTATAAGGGCAACAACTAACAATTATTTTCGTTGTTTGCTGATTTTTTTTGTATTAATCATTTGGTCGATAAAACATGAGAAAACAGTGAAAACGTCCATCACAGTTTCCTTCTTCTAAGGGATGTTTTGTCTGGCCAACAGTTCTAAACCCAAATATATTTATTTTACAAGCAGCAAATCCTCACATTTTAGAAACTGGAATGGTAAATAGTTGGTATTTTTGCTTGAACAATGAATGGATCAATAAAAAGAGCTTAAAAAATTACTTGTAAATACTTTATACTAATACTAAGTGATTTATACTTTTGCACACTGTCATGGTAGTCACAATGGCGCAGTATTTCATGAGAGATTGTTTTTCCCCATAAATTGTTTCTTACATTTTAAACACCTAAAGACAGCAGACAGTTTAATAACGGTGTCTATTTTCAGCCTTCTGTTCTGCATTTGTTATATCAAACATTTTAATGATGTTTTCAGCAGAGATGCCCAACTTGCTCTTATGTAACATGTGATTCAGCCTATGAAAACAAACTGATGGATCCGATAGTAAAGCTGGGGTGACACTGGGTGGAAATCCATCAACTGGAACATATGAAAAGGGAGAGAGGCACCGCAAGAT